AACATCTACTTTAACTTTAAATTTTTTAAAGTTAAAGTTTAAAGTATGGCAACTTTAACTTTAAAAGTTAAAGTTAAAAGTAGTACTTTAAACTTTAACGTTTAAAGTTTAAAGTAGTACTTTAAACTTTAAACGTTAAAGTATAAAGTAGTACTTTTAACTTTAAACTTTAACTTTTAAAGTTTAAAGTGCCACTTTAACTTTAACTTTTAAAGAAAAGTTAAAGTGCCACCCCTAGGTACCATATGGGGCCAACGTTGGAGATTTTGTCTCACATTGGTTAGTGTTATTGGGAATATTTGCTATAGCTATTGAGGAAAAATGAGGTTTTGACATGAAGTAGTCACTTTGCAACATATGATAAGTATTTTGGGGCGAAAAGTGTGGGGAATGTGAAGGGTAGTGTGTTTTTCTTTCAATTAAGGTAAATTTGAGGGAAACGAGAAGATTGGACCATAGTAATATAGAAAAGATCTTTCGCTATCGTTAAGGTGGCCAGGTCCAGATTTCTATCTTGTATACCAGTGTATTTTTGTGTTTGGAATTTTTAATTCATCTATTTTTAGTTGAATGTAGTTGTTTTTCCATCGTCGTAGCTCGTCGTGTTGTGGTAGCTTCTCATCAATGTGATAGAGGGAATCTAGAGACCGTCATATATCGTGGCAGACCTTCTGATGCACGATATATGATTATAAATGACTAGAATGTCATAAGAATATATCAACTGCTTCCTTGTTGCAGTTGTAAAAAATTAAATAAAAAGTGACAAATAAGTGGGTCCAATGATATATCCAAGAAAATCATATTTGTGTCACTCGTAACAACAGCAACATTGTGTTTCAAATTTTAATTGCGCAGCAATTGCGCTAACAGCTTTTTTTATAGTCAAACTACGCTTTCTTTAGCGTTTCTGTTCGATTATGTATATTTTCTTTTTTCTTTTATGAAATTCTAGTTGGTATCATCTAATTGATTATTCAAAATTTCATATTGCTGGTGGATGTTTGTTAACATGTCTTATTGAAAATGCTTCTTTGTCATTTGGTCAAGATATTGATTTATTTTATAAAGGGGATTCATATGATGATTATCTAAATTCTGTTGTAAGTTAGATTTTTTTTCTGATGTTTATAATATTTATTGATATTCCACTAGTATAATACAGAAGCAAAAATGCGAGAATATTTTTATGTTAAACGAATAAAAAATGGTGGGCAACAGATTATTAATTTACGATTATTCATGAATAGAACAATTGAAAGTCTTATTCAACAAAAACAATTTGTTGATCTTCAATTTATTTTTGTTAAATCAAATTATACATCAGATCAACTCATAACAAGTTTTGATATTGATGCAACACAATTTACATTTAATGGTGAAACTTTGCAAGGTACAATGGCAGGTATTGAAGCCATACGAACATCAACAATTATAAATTATGGTCTAAATAATGATGACAAGGATTATGCACGTATTGCTATTAGAATTGGAAAATATGTTAAACACGGTTTTAAACTGTTAGCTCCAGTTCGTTTCAATTTTAAACGATTCCAAGTTTCACCAACACATATTAGCAATCGAAATATTTCATTAAACATACAACAATACAATCCTAATCAACATCAATCTTATTTAGAATCATCAGTTCAAGAATACAATAATGCAATTGACTATGAATATCCATATATAGTTTTCAGTCGAAATTATGATTGCTTTTATATTCAAAATAACTTTCGTTTAAAAATATTATTTGCAAGACAATAAGAAATTGGAACTATAATTTTAATTTCAATGTAAAAATAAATGAAAATTTAGTCATATACAATGCTAAACTCATTCAATAATTAAAATTTAAAATAAATAGAATAACTAAAGCTTTTATTATTGTCGTCTTATGCATTTAAAAGAGATCAAAAGTTAAAGTGTGTTTATTTCTATTATATTTAAAATAATTGACTTTCGATTTGTAAATAGTTACAAAAAATATTATTCATGGTAAAGTTGATTAGATCGTCGTGATGCTCGATACCGTTGTTTTTGTTCTCGGATTTGTAGTATATATCCGGATTTATCAGCTTGTCGTCTTTGTTCATGATAACGACGTACGCGTTCTCTATTGAGTCTTACAAGATGGTGTTTACGCATTAACAAAACTTGATCAATCATATCATTTAACAATGAAACAAAGATAATTTCTGGTGTTTGTTGTTCAATATCAGAAATATTATTAGTATCATTCATTGTAGGTTAATTGATAGAAATGAAGCAAACAATATAAAATGAATTTAATTGCGCATAAGTAACGATAGATGCCTTTCTGTCACCGCTTTTTTTTTGAATGACGTAAAATACTATGAAAAGTTTCATAACATTTCTTAAACATTGAATAGGAAAAAAAATAAAAAAAACCTGTCAATTATCTTGAAAAGCACTCATGTAGTTAATAACAACATCTATTACATTAAATCTAATGTATTTCTTACTATGCAGAAAGCCACGGGATTGAATGGTTGCATAGTGGTAGTTTTTTTTTTCTTGAAAAATTCAATATATTCATATATCTATCTGGTGAAATCATATGATATTATTAATTAAAAAACCTATGTATTTCAAAATTTTACACAGCTGCTTAATTATTAAAACAACATTCGTGCTTTCTTCCATATGTACTAATAGATTTTAAGTGAAACTTGTGTCCAAGAAAAAGAAGTCGTTATGATCAAAATGAGCGTCTATAGGGTTCGGCATTTATAGATATAGAAAGATGTAATGGAAAACAGAACCGTATAGTAGCATTTTCAAATGCACGTTGATAAAAATATTTAATTGCTAAATATAATTATATATTTATTTAATGTTAAAATTATATGAAGACGTTGTAATCGAATGTATTGATTTTAGTAAATAAATAGAAATTTCAAGTAAACTTATATCATTTATATAATATATTAACTCATTTAACTAGAAAGGAAAGTATTAACTGTGAGAGAGACTATTGAATAGTTAAAAACGACTTAAAAGATAGCGTGACAAAAAATTCGAATTATGTTCAAAAAAATGTTGAGTACCTTTAATAAGACTTGTTTTTTACTTGTAATATTTAATATGGTAGAACTTATGACATCGGATTTTTTAGTGTATAAGATCGTTTATGTCAGAAGTGTTTATTACGCCTGTAAATGTGTTACTATCTATGATAGAAAACATGAAGAAATATCAGTAGATTTGTGCAGTATGTAAGGCGCCTAGTTTATAAATTTTTCTTTATTAATTGTTTAAATTTTGCTTTATTCAACCTATTTTGTTGATGATTAATATGACTGAATGTAAAACATGTTATTGGTGTGGAAAAGAAACTAATTCTTTTTTTATAGAATTTGATAAATTAGTCTTTTGTTCAATATGTAAAGATTATTATAATCTATATATGCATATCATGAATTTTATAAAGATGGTAAATACTAATGCTTGTGAAATAACAATTGGTAATAATTGGAATAATTTCTTTGATTTTTTATTTAAAACAAAATTATGTTTATATGCTCATCGTCGCGACGAAATCGGTATGGAAATTAGTTGGTTATACGCACTTTATCTTTGGTATACAAAAAATGAAATGAAATCTATTAAAACTTCAATTATAATGGAGCATTTATGTAATCTTCTTCATTTTTTACAAATTATGAGAACATCATAAATGACCGAACTAAAAAAAAATATCCATTAGTTTAGAAGGTTTATGCTTAACTCTAAAAATGATTATATAATAAAAAAGTATTATAACTATAAAATTTTTTTTGAATAAACATATAAATACAAAATAGTTTAAATGATTGATAAATACTTATATTACTAAATATTTTTAATAATTCGATATAGTCATTATTTTGATGAAATAGTTTATGTGTTAGGCAATAGCAACAAAAATAAATTCCATGAGAATTATTACTTGTAAAGCAAAATAATGAGTGAGTCAGAAATATATGACAAACAATGATATCAAATTCGTGTAACAATATTTAAGAAGCACAACCACATGACTAGTAAATTCCGACAATTCATAGGTAAAATAATATTAAATCGCTATTCCTGTTTTTCATCTATAGATGTCAGCTCTATAATATAATACTTAGTGTTCTTTACAGTAAAATTTAATATAGTGCACTACCCCAGATAGGTTTCCATCTAATAGAACCCTATTTCACATAAATTTTATGACACTTTTGTTAGCATTGCTTCAGATTTATTGATGTGGTAAATATTTGAGTTACGATGTAACTTAATGGTAAGCTAAGTTAACATATCGAGTCATGTAAAAGATATTATTTGCCAGAACTACAACATACTCAGGTGATCCAGAGGATCACTTTATGTCAAAACAACGGAACCTTGCGGTTAATAATTCCCATTCTTATGTGATCCGTAGTTGTGCATTGTTAAAAACAAAGGATTATCGCTTTTAAAATATAAAGATAGCAAGTAAAACATTGTAAATGGAGGGACACTTGAATATTAGAAGAGATGATTTATGCAATTTGAATACCTTTGAATAAGTGAAACTAGAAAATTTAAGCATCGCAATTTTCTATTCCAAGTAAGAGAAAAACATTTTTGGTCTGCAATTCACAACTTGTTCAGCTAGTTTTTTTTCGAATAAATTTATTTTTTTTTAGTTTACATAAATGGATTTCATGCAAAATGACGGATTTTAATTAGCTATAAGTGAAAAAAGTCAAATGTTATAATTACAGTAAAACTTCTCTAATGTGAGCACCATTGGGACCGACCAAAAGTGGTCAGTTTACCGAGGTGCTCAGTATGGGGAAGTTTTCAATTTCTTTTGTGAAAAACTGAGATAATCACTTGAAAACGCTTTCCAATTGGACGAATTGTTCTTATTCTACTTTTCAAAAATTTATTTATTTAAATGAATTTCTCTTTTCTGAAGTAACAACTTTTTTTACAATACAAAACTAAGTTTTTTTAAAATAGCCATCAATTGTACTTTGTACAGACATTTTTGAATCAAGATAAATGTCTGTAAGCTTTGATTCTATATCAATTATAGCTTGGTGAAGCTGTGGATATTTTGTAACAGAAAATAAGCGTAATCGTTGTATCATTTCTATTGCTTCAGATAGCTTTGGTGGTGTTTCTTCACTGGTGTTTTCTTCTTCATCATCACCTAATTCGTTCGTTTGAGTAATACTATCAACAATAACAACTATTTTTCTCTTCTAATTACGTCCGTTCAGTCTATGTCGGTTATGTATGTACTCTTTTATTTTTTTAATAAAGCAGACGACATAAAATCATTCACTTTCTCGTCGAAAGTGTAAGTTATAGAATAAATATTGCTCACATTACAGAGATTGTTGTTGCTCATGGGACCAATAAAAAGCCGCTCACTAACAGAATAAGGAGGTGCTCATATTCCAGAGACTCATTTTCAGCGAAATTCGTTTGGGCGGACCGGAGAGTGCTCAGTATAGGGTGGTGCTCATTATTGAGAGGTGCTCACATATAGAAGTTTTACTGTATTCTCTAAACAATTACTGTTTACATAGAACGTGATTTTGAAAAAAGATCGCTGCTTTTTAATTAAAAATGTAATGAATTTAAATGATGTAGAGTAATATGTAAAAAGAAAAGCCAATCGGACTTTTTCGAAAAAGCTCCATTATAAAACCATCATGTAGTAAAAGATTTTTCTACCATAGACACTTATGCAGTTTTACTCAAGGTACAGAAATAGTTTATGTGAAAATTTGTGTACAGATTCCATTCTTGAATTTCCATCAAAGCTAGTTTTCGATGAAGTCAGTTTGATTCAGATAAAATCTGGGTAAACCATTCAGAGGAGTATAAAACTGTAATTCTAACTTATTACTTTTTTCCGTTGTTCAACAAGTAATGGGTAGATAAAAGTTGACGAATAAGGTTGCGCAAAAAGTTTTTCTATAAACATTTTTTTATAATTCATACGCTGTTGATACAGTTTTTAGGGGTTTTAATCATTGCTAGAAAAATGACAACATACTTTTTCGTTTTTACGTGATAGTCTTAAATTAATTGCAGTACATGTAATATCTCATTATTGCAAAACTTATTAATATTATATATGAACAATATTTCTATATATTGTTATGGTTAAACTAAATGGTTTCAATATATGATCCATATAAATTTGAATGGGTATCCAAATAATTTCATTTGCAAAATGCGACACTTCAAATTTTCAAAATTTATTTTTTCTCTAAAAAAAACCTGGTCGCTATAGAAAATTAATTTCATATTTATTTTCTTCTTAATATTCTGCTATACTACATAATATAATTATAAACATTAACGTGAAACATATCTTGACATTTGAAAACAATGGGAAAAATACCGAATGAAAAAATGAAATCCAACGCAAAACCATCTTCCAGTTGGGCAGTGATAAAACTTTCGAAATCGTAAGTTAAAAAATCGAATCGAAATTCAAAACCTTCAAAAAGAAAGAAAAAGAATCGTAATTCAAAACCCTCACAAAGAAATAAAAACAATCGTAATTCAAAACCTTCACGAAAAGAAAAACACAACCAATATCTAAAGCCATCTGCAAAAAAACGTCATAATGCTAAATTAAACAAAAAAGAAACAAAAAATACAGGATTCGCAAGAGAATCGAACTTAATAAATTTCCAATTGTCAAACGTCGAGCAGTTAGACTCTTCTGAAATACATCACTTTTTGCATAAGAGGTTACTGTTGGATTATAAAAATTTTTTTTTATACGAATAAATTTTTTAAATAGATATTTATCAACAATTCTTCAACGATGGGTTTCTTGTACTTGTTGTATGGCTTTGCATCCTGAGAGCCGATTTACTATTGCATCAAATATTGATGAATTGTATCACGATGTAGTTGAAGGAGAACTTTTATGCCGAAAATGTCATGAATTCAGTCCATCAAATGATTACAGTCATTGTCCATTTGCATATTATAAAAATAGACTAGTGGTTCCTTTGATACCAGATGATTTAATATTGGGTTTTATGGAACAAAGAGCAATTGCCTTAACCCATATCTATATGAGTATTATACTTATTCGTGGTCATCAAGCTGCAATGAAAGGCCAAGCAGTTCACTTTCATATTGATACAAATGTAATTGTTGGTGATTTATTACCATTTCCAAGATGTTATGAATTTCTAGCAGTTGTGCAGGAAAAACCATTAAAAAATCATGAGATTCACACAACAGTTGCATATTCATTTAGTCCAATACAAGTTTTAAAAGCTTTGACATATTTAAAACAATATAATCATTTATATGCTGCTAAAAAGTTCATGACAATAAATGAAATAGAAGAAATGTTTAAATGTCGAAATGAGATTATTACACCCATTCGAATAATTGATAGTTACGCTTACAATAATTCCACTACTACAACACCTATTCTGAACTCATCAGACGATTTTTCTGGACCAAAGTATTAACTTGTATAAGATAAAATTATTTTAATGACATATTCTAGACGCAAAATATCTTGTGCTGAAAATCCAATATGGCAGATAGAGCCGTATCTTGAAGAAAGTACTTATCCGTGGTTGTATACACATGGTAAGGGTGGTGAAGCAGATCCTGAACGACCTATTGCTTTAAGTATTCGAGATTATTATAAACAACGTCTAAAATCTGTTGATAACCGATGGCAGAAAGATCCGACTTGGATTTTTCGATCATTGAATTTGCTACAGAGAGAAGAATTACGTAAATCTGTTAATTACCATGCAAAGAAAAAGTATGAAGACGGAAAAATATGTTATTTGATCTATCCAGGTAGGCATAATCATAATAATATAATGAGTTCAGAAATTTCTTGAGCATTAATTGAACATGTGATAACGTTCATACTGTGTTATATTAGATGTAGGAGCAGTTCTTCGTGGTACTTCAGCATTTTGGTTAAAAGCAAAAAGACATCTTCGGTCTATGTATGCAACACTCGGAAAACCTTTTATTTTTTTTTCAATAAATCTGCAAGACGACGTGGAATTTTTAATCAATATTGATTCTAATAAATTTGGATCTATAAATAACCCTAAATGGGAAGCAATTGATACTTTATCAGACGATGAATACATTATGCTTGTAAATGAAAATGCAGGGCTTGTTGCACGAATGTGTAAACGTCGAATGAACGCTTTTGAAGAATACATTAATGATAAGAAACATCCATTTCTGATTGATTATGTAGTTTCTCACTATTTTCTGAAAACCGAATTTCAACGAGATGGATTACCACATTTACATGCTCTGTTATGGATTGAAAATCCTCCTTCTACGGATACAAATGAAGGACGACAAGAAATACTTGATTTCGTTGATAAAGTGGTGCTGAACTTGCTTATATGCAAGAAGGTAGAGATTGTACTTCCACATACAGTTCTTTCGTGATCTTTGGTTGTGTTAGGAATTGGGTGTGGGGTGTGGGTGTGGGTGTGGGTAAGGGGTGTGGGTGTGGGTGTGCGTGGGTGGGGGTGTGGGTGAGGGGTGTGGGTGAGGGGTGTGGGTGTGTGTGGGTGTGGGTGAGGGGTGTGGTGTGGATGTGGGTGTGGCTAGGTGTGGGGTGTGGGTGAGGGGTGTGGTGTAGATGTGGGTGTGGCTGGGTGTGGGATGTGGGTGTGGGTGGGTATGGGTGCGGGTGGGTGTGGTTGTGGATGTGGATGTGGGTGGGCGTGGGTGTGGATGTGGGTGTGGACAACAGCATCACACCCACACCCCACACCCACACCCTCACACCCACACCCACACACCCACACCCACCCACAACCACATCCCACACCTACACCCGATCCTCTTAGGGAAAATGGACTATTGAAGGTTATCGAAAAATTTTAATTTCTTTTTAACGAAATGCTCTTGAAAAAAATATTAAAACAGATATATTCATACTCCGCTCAATGAACTCGATCTAACCATGTATAAAAAAACCGAAAAAAATCGCTTCAATTTTGCGTTAGGCTCACCTTACCAATTGAGTTCTTTAAGCAAGGGCGCAATAAATATCACGTGATGCTTTGAAAGTGAAAACAAATCTTAAAAATCATAGTGAATATTACTGAGAATTTCTCAAAATACGGTTTCTCAACATTGGAATCCTTTTAAAAATCTTCTAATTCAATGAATCATTGAAAGTTGCTTTTCATCTGAAAACTGATAATCTTCACGACTAATTTACTTAGTAATTTCAAATTACCTGATAAGATCCCTAAGCAAGATCGAAACACATGTCATATCAGTTTGACACACACTGTGAAATGAATTTATCACTACTTATAGATTTTTTTCTAATTTTATATGCAATACTATAAATTTAATTCTTGTGGTTTTCGTACAAATCATATAGAATTGTTGTCATCGGATAAGATCCTTGAGAAAGGTCGAAACTAGTAGTTGCTTTCTTTTCACAATACACACTCATTTCCACGTTTTCTGTTTTTGAATCTAAATAAACTTTGAGATTTTAGCACACCCTTAACGTCACTCTCAATTTCCTGAACAATTTTTAATTTTATTATCCCTAATCGTGAGCACCAGTATTAACTTTAATGCCAGTATAGAGTTCTACGAGTTTATCGAAACCATCTAAGACACCAGCTGCAGCGATACCATAAATAATCCAAACACCAGCTCCTTTGAAAAATGCCATAATACCTTCATGACGCAAAATTTGGACCGTACAATCTAATGATCCTTTATATCTAACAGCTTGACCTGATGTCATCATCATACGTCGTCGAACAGTAGCAATAGGATTTGAGACAATACCTGATGTAATGGTTACACCAAATGCAAGTAAAAATGAAGTCAGAATGCCAGCATCAGTACCAATTAAAATTGGCTTCAATCCATTATAAAAACCAAAATAACATCCATAATAAACACCTGCACACACGCATGGTGTGATGAAACCACAGTAAAGACCAACAATACCATCAGCAGCCAATGTCTTCCTATAAGCATCAATAAGCCCATTATATTTACGTTCACCACCACCTCTCTTTACACTTCTTATATCATTAGCTAAACGTACGCGTATACTATCATGTGGATAAATAAAACAGAATGGTAATATACCAGTAACAGCACCACTTAATACATTTATAACGAAGTTCTTCATAGAAGAGTAATTTTTCCCATGTTTGAACATTGCTTTTATCTTTTCATTCAAAGCGAAATAGAAAGCCTTAAAAGAGAAAAACTTTCGGTAATGTGTATTATTAAACAATCGATTCAAAACCAACTGTCATAGGAAAATATCGAATACATTTAACCGTATTGCCTCGTCAAAATAGAAATAGGCCTTCATTTTTGAATGTTTGTACAGCACAATCAATAACACCATTATATGGACGACTGATTATACCTTGTTTAAGCAATTCACCTTGATTTTGTACGAGTAGCTTTACATGTTCAATAGGTGCAGCTGCTGTTTTTGAGATAACAGCAGCAAGGCCACTAAGTGCGAAGTTTTCAGTGAAATTCAAATTGCCTTTTTCCTTCTAAATAAATATTCATAAGAATACATTTTCAAGGAAAACAGTCAAAATTATTTACCATGCCCATATTTATTTATGTTGATATCAATCTGAAAGAAAAGAAACTAAGTCAGAGATGGTTTCTCTCCTTTCTCTCTGCCACATAATGTTTTGGTTCTCCTAGGCTGTTGCGTATTCGGTAGATGTAGCGAAATTTGAATTACAGAAAGGACACAAAGTGGTCATCATAGAGGAAACCTACTTCAAAATGTCTCAATCTTTGCTTTAAATATGAAATTGCAAGGCAAACACAATTTGATCGAGCTCTCCTTGTTTTACTAGCGAACTTTAAAAAGTTTTCAAGAAATCTATTATAATATTCTTCAGAGGTAAATGTGTGGGCATATATATGCGGATGTGGCTATGCAATGGGCTGTCGATTTGAATATGAGGCAAAGATGATTCTGAAGAAAAAGAACATCCACACCCAAAACTCGGCTATTTCATCGAAACTGATTAGCTCAAAAATGATGATATTAAGTTATATTGTGATGAAATCAACATATGATGACTTTTCTCATAGTTTTTTAACTCTCGATTTTTCTAATGCAGACTGATCAATAAGCAAACTATTTATAAAAGTAACATAATTCATCTATATCCATCCAATTCATTGACTGATCGTACAAAGACAGGATACCATTCACACACTATTTTTTCGATAGTTATAGCTACCGAATACTACTGTAACGTACTGCTTCCTTTTAGGTAAACTTATTATTGAATGAAAAAGCATCGTTATCGATTTTCAACTGTACTTTTTAACGCTCGATTGGGATATATTTGGAGAAGTTATGAGAAAGTATTAAAAAATATAAGCTGAAATTTGATCATAATTTTCTTTGAAATTTTTCTCATAAGTTCTTTTTATATCGGAGAAGAAAATAAGAACAGATATTGTGATTTGCTCTTTAATAATGTTTATAAAAACAGAATTCTAAAAGCATATGATTTGGAACGTCACCAAATGTAAAATTTTGAATCATCGAAAATGAAAAATTTTTAGCATTTAAATAGACTATTTGTGGACACTCGTTCCGTATACATCAGTATGGATTCTTTTGTTGTCCTTAAATCGTGTTTTGTTAGTATTTTTCTGTATAGCAACTGAAAGCTATCAGTGTAACGATTCATATTTATTGTTTTACATTGCAATATATAATATTTCTCCTATCGTACGAAAAGGAATACTCATGATTAACATTTTACTTAGTGTCTATGCAAAGAAATTTCAATAAAATTTTGCCTCTACGATAAAACCATCCGGTTGTATTGAAGGTATACGCTGAGATTCAGCTACACTCTAGCGTTTATTTATGTTCAGGATAAAGAAACCGAACTGTACCTACCTACACAGCTCAGGAAAAACAAAATAAAATTCAGCTTTTAGATTGTTTCCAAAACTAATTGACAAATAAAACTTGAAATATCCATTTGGAAAAAGAAATCATTATTTCTCATCTACTTCCTTGTAAAGAATGTTTCATAAGCATCAACAAAGAGTCAAATGAATTGCCTTTCTTCATTTCGACTTTAACCTTGTGCAGAGAAAATGACGAGAGCAAAACTTGAAAACAATTTCTTGGAAAAAAATGAAAGAGTTTTTTTTTTTCTTATAACACGAAAAAGAAAAGAGTAAAGTAAAATTACTTGCACTATTTTTTCTGTTAATTTTTACTAAGTAAAATGACGAAAAAATGCTTGGAAGTCTTTTGGTTAAAAAGAGCAATTTTTTTCTTATGTTCTTGATTCTTAAAAATCTTTGGCACCCATTGAAGAAGAGTGTGAATGAAGATGAACCTATAATCAACATCTTACCCATACATCCCTACCCACATCCAGCATCTATTAGTGTGTGTTGGTGAGCTGAAGACATTCAAATGCACATTTTTCTTTTATAGATGGCTTGTTTGTTTTCACTTATTCACATTGTGTCTCGTTGATAGACATTTAAAAGTTCCGAAGGAAGAAAAAAGAATGCGCAAAAAATCTTGTTGATTTTATTATGAGGTGGAACGTAGAATTTTCGAAATAATTTCGAAGAAAGTTTAGTTGGACTGAAAAATTACGAAAGTCTTACTAAAATTTCAATAGTGAATCGGATTTCTTTGCGTGTAAGACCCTGATGTTCAAAATTTGGTATGGTTAAATTTTTCATTGTGTGCACTCAGCTAGTTAATATGAACGACTACTGAAATTTATTCATGAGTAAATGTGGATTCATAGCTTCATATTCAATCAAAAAAAATAAATAAGTTTGATCGAAAATAATGAATATTTATATTATCGTAACTGAAGATGAAATTTTTGTTTATTTCACCCTAAAATATGATAAAACAGAAGTAGTATTTAATATTTAATTTCTAATTACAATCCAAGTTTTAACGAATTCAATACTTTGAATTGTAAAAAAAAGGGAATTCTGTTGTATAAGAACTTTGTTGTTTCTTTGCCATTACTCTTCATTCGTTCTTTCTATCAATTCTTGCTGTCTTGGGTGGGTGTGATACTGTATCTCGATCTTTTCTTCTGATCTACACTCACACCCACACCCTTCTTAAACGGTACTAGTGTTTTTTGATTAGCGAAAATATGAAATCCACAAAGAAATATTAAGACTAAGTACCTTTCTAATTATTGTTGCTATTTGATGGGTATGAATGTTGGTGAAAAGAAAAACAACATCCACACTTACCCATACCCTGAATCCTATTTACTTGAGTAAAAATTCGAAGAAACAAGAAGAAGAAAGATTGAAAATAGCAAACATTTATCAACTAATTTAATATCATATTTTGTATTAGATACTTGATCCATAGGGTGTGGGTGTGGGTACGGGTTTAAAAAAAACAACAACCACACCCACATCTCCCACACCCACACCACACCCACACCCACACCCACCCACACCCTATTTACCAAATTTTAAAATGGAAGCTACATTTGAAATTAAATGGTATCCTTCAACAACTTGGAATGAAAGATGCATTTAGTAGTTATAAAGCAAATTTTACAGGTATCGTTAACGAAAAAAAATGACAGAGATCGTTTATACATTAGTAAAGTAAATAATTTATTGATAAGAAAATGTTAACTAACGTAATATTTTAGGTTATTCACAAATCGTTTATTGATGTAAGCGAACATGGTTAGTTTGTTCTTCTTTTTTTGAAAAGTAGTCTGTTTGATAAAGGCAATGTATTATCTTAATTGTAAAAAATGTTTGAAAGATAATGAAAAGCGATTGAGTTTAAAGCTAATTGATCATTTTTGTTTTTCATTGGGGGAAAACAGTAAAATATGATTTTATTTTTCTTAACAGTTTTTCTTCGAGTTTTTCATTGAAAAATGATGTAACAAACTGGCTTGTCCCATCGCATCCCATTGGGCAACGCATCTAATAAAAAAGAATCTTTCTTAAGCCTTGAGTCAGCTTATAAAACTTCATTATTCAATTATCTTCGTTTCTCTCTATCAGTTCATGTTTAGATCACTTTATTTGACATTAATTTTTTTTTAATATTAATCACATAACATGTGATGCAAAAGTCTTTGCAAAAATGTCAAACTCTATTAATCTATATTGCCAATTTCTAACCCAACGAAGTTCTTTTTTGTTGGAAAGAGCAATGTCTGAATTACAAATTTTGTAGCAGAAATTTTTTTCTAAAACAAATCTCAGAAGAAGGAAAAGCCAAAAACTAAAAATGTTCTTGCAACGTTTCTGCAACTGTAAAAGTTTCTATTTCTCAATTGTTATTTGGAGCTACATGGACCAAACTTCAACAAAAAATATATCAAAATATAGCACATCAAAAGCTCTATCGATATCAACTTTGGGAAATTTTTTTAAAATAAAATGTTTTACAAGAACTATCAGTTGGGAAGGACATTAGCCACAATCTTCAAAAACCATGCATGAAGTGAATTCTTTGTGAGTTATTTTTTCGAAATATGTCAGATCATAGAATCTTAGCAGAAAGAAAGTATTTTTTATTACTGGAAAATGATTAGGTAGCTGGAACGACCAAACTGTACAGTTTCTTTCGGAAGAAACTATATTTTGGTATAAAAACTAAGAGTAAATTTAACTAGGAGTGTGGGTGTGGATGTGGATGTGAGTGATAAGAAGACTCACACCCACACCCATTCCAAGAACATTTTTATAGATGTTTGCTTTTTGGTTTTTTTCTCCTTCTGAGATTCGTTCTAGAAAAATGTGTCTGCTACAAAACTTGCAGCTGAGACATTGCTCTTTCTAACAAAAAAACCTTGCGAAGTTATCAATATGGTCTAACAGAGTTTGATATTTTTGCCAGATTTGCACTGAATGTTACCCAAGCAGACAAAAAAAAGCATACGATGGGTGCGACGAGCGGTCGAACATTATATATATGTTTTTTTCGTTCTGTTTCAATTTCGATCCCCTCGACACCTATCGAATTTCGAGCACTCGGACACTGTGCCCTATCGACGACTCATTTTCGACTCGTCGTATATATTTCGACACCTCGGTACTCATCGAAATTTCGAGTACTCCGAGAGAAGTCACCTATCGAAATAATACTATCGACGCCTCTAACACATTTCAATCACTCGACTAAAACAAACATATTGAAAGGACCATTTTGAGTTCTTCAAAAGAGTCAAACCGATCACAATAAACAGTCTTGACAGAGGAGTCTATAATCTTGATCATGTGAAACTTCTTCAAAATCCACTTTTAAAATATTCTTTATTTTTATTCAATAATTTTAGTAGAATTATTCAAGGTTGCTTCATAAATCACCTTAATTTTACAATTTTCAGATCAAAATTTATCGTCCATCGATTGAAACTAAAACTAAACTTCACGTGTGTTTTTAGCTAAGACATAGTAATAATGAATTTTCACGTTGTGAATACGTAGGATATCTTGGGCCTGGATTCGAGTATTCTGCAACTGGATTCGCTCACAGTTGGGACCAAAAGCCAAACTCTATAGACCAAGATAGAGCTCAACGAGCTCTATCGAATGCACTATTTACT